CTGCGCGTGTCAGACAGTGTTTTGTCTGATAGCGGAGTCCATGCAGTTGATTGTACCACGCTTGTGAGGGAAATGTGGAGTAAGTTCCTTACACCAGATGCAGAATCCCTTTTGGAGTCCATCTTACAAAAATCAGGTTCCAGATGCATTTTTTGGTTCCATTCATTTCACGTATGCAGCCATCTGCTGAGAAACCATCTTCTGTCCTTCTCAGTCTACAAGAGGATTACTTATTTTGAAAATGAATTAGTTTTTCTAAATTACCCAAGAATTTCATCTTTCTATATAAAAGCTGTGATTATTTAACTGCTAGTGAATTCTGAAAGTGTATTTACACTCTCCGTCACGCATCTTAAGCATTCACACGTCTTCACGCCAAGTACTACATTCTTCAGATTCAAGCTGCCACCTTCAAGCCACCCACGCATGGTGGTTTGGTATATTCTAGGTGTTTTTCAGATAGGTTTTTTAAATAAACCAGTCCACAAAGGCAGGTGAATAAAATGAATTGTGAAAATTAAGGACTGATTTGCAAATTAAGTTTGCAGTTTTTGAGCTGGGGTTTGCCACACTGCCTGGCTGGTGTAGGTACCAGGTCATCCTGCCTCTTTGACCTCAGGGTATTTCTGATGTTCCTGCAGGGCTTTCTTCAGCTTGACTGGCAAGCCAGACTTCCATGAGCAACCTACTAGTGGGTTCCTTTTGTCAACCTATTATGAAATCTCACTCAAACTACTTCTCTTCTCAGTCGTCACAGACTCTGGAGTAACCTCTGAGTCAGCCACAGACCACTGTCTCAGCTTATATGGCCAGACACAAGAGCAACCTCACCTACTGCCTGCTTTTTGCCAGCTCTGTGCTCTTTTCCCCTTATGGAGATAATGTTCTCTTCCTTCTCTTCTCCATCCTGTTTTCACCTGGTCACTTACATTTTTGTTCCTGTCTTTCTCAGTCTGTTTTCAGTTGTCAAGCAATTACATTGTGCCAGTGAAGGGCTTTTCATGTTTTTTTCTGTGAAAGGATTTGGGATCTCTGAGCCCATAAAGATTTATACCTGCATTTAAGTTAACTAAAACATTGAAGTTAACTAAAACGTGTACAACTTGGCAGGATCAAGGCCTAATCTGGGAAATAATATATTGGAAACCTGGTGTTAAATATTGTCTTGGTAGAGCATTTAGGCTTTTAAAGTGTTAATATTTTGAAAATTACTAACAATGGATGGGAGGTACTTTAAAAGTGGAAAAAATATTTGTTACACAAACTTTTAAAATATGACTCACCTGACTGACAAGTATTACATTAAAATAATATTTATTTTATATTAGTTTATTTATGGGCTCATATTGTTAAGGATTTGGTATCATGAACAGCAGGCTTCTGTGTTCCATATTTATGTGACTTTCAGTGGAAAAGAGAAAAATCTACTCTACAGCTTTCTGCAAAAGAACTGCAAAGATGCATTTGAGCCATTTCTTGACTGACTTGAATAATTAGAAGGTTTGTGGATAAAAGACTTCGGTTTCACCATTGATTATTAATAAAACATTAGAAATGCGCAGGGGTCTTTAAAGAAAGAAATCTAGAAACCCATCAGTTAAATCAATCTAATGTGAATCAGAGCTCATGATAGAAAGGATAAGTTACAAAGACTCAGTTTTACATGACTTAATAAACAGGATTATTACTGAATTAAAGTTTGGATTTTTTGTCAGAACAGGATTTTTTCCAATATGTTTTGACAGAGCCTTCAGCAATGAGAAACTACTGACTATAGATACTCTCTGCCAGAATGATGAATCTATTTCCAGTAAGCTAGTTGCTTCATCTTGCTAGATATACTCTTGGGGATTTATCACGTAATTCCCTTAATCCAAACCAGTTGTGTACATATTTTGTAATTGATGAATTACTGACAGTAAGTAAATATTCATAAAAAATCAACTATTTGTTAAATAAATACCATAATGTTTTACAATTTTTATACCAGAACTTAGCAGTCTTGTATTTACCGTGTCTTTTCACATGAACTAAAGTGTCATCTAAACCTGCTGTTTACAATATTTACAACATTGAATATATACCGTCTCAGGTAAGAATGCATTTACATTGCAACTGTATGTCAAATACTTTCATCAACACAGTGAGTAATACCCGATCACTAGTCCTTGAAATAACATGTCATTAAATTTGTGAAGATGAAACAACTATTCTTCCATCAAATTCTGCTCTACATTTAGATGAAATGCCTTGGTTAAGTCATGTCTTTGAAGGCTGGGTGTTACTTCCTTTTGCTCTGATTGTAGTTGGCAGGCGTTATATGTTCTTTGTATATTACTGAAACAGAACATCTATCTGCAGTGTACTCTCTGTCTTTTCGGCATAAATGGATGTAACTTTGGTGTGTTGGATGTATTTTGGTGTGTTGTTTGCGTCTGATTAATTGGGTCTTACTGCTTTTGTGTGTGCATATATCTTATTCTTACTACTGAGTATATGTGATTGATGCACTGAAATGCTGGCTTCTGTTCTGTGAATATTAATCAAAGAATATGCTGCTCTGTTTAATGGCTTTGCAGTGCAGGAGGCAGCCATAGACTACAGCCTGCTTTTTTTTGCTCTTCAATCGTTGTGTAAGACACTGGCAAGAACACTTTTCTTCATCTATAAACACTATTTCATGCTTAAACATATCCATTGTTTGGTCAAAGTTACGAAATATTGTTGCTTAATTAAATTTTGTTTTCAACATTTCCTGGTAAAAGCAGTAATGGAAGAGATAAAACAGTAAAGGAAGAGGAGATAATAAAGTGTAAAAAAATACTAGGCATTCCAGGCAAGAAATAAGCAGAAGATGTGGAGTCAGTAAATTCAGCTTCATAGGATTTAAGGTCTTATGATTTGGAGAAATGGTTTTCTTTAACCAAAGATTAAATTACTATGGTGAAAGGGTTAATTTATGACCGAACTATTCTTAAAGATAACCAGTGTAGAATTTGCTGTATTCTGATGTACACTTAAAATGCGTATAAGGTAGGTTGTGACAGCTTCTTTGGGCAAGAAATTAAAAGATGTATTCAGTAGTTAAAACAAAAAAGCCAATACATGTTTGTGGTGATAGTGGTACAGCTTGGTATCATAAGCAGCAACCTTCTTGAAAACACAGCTCACATTTTTATGGCATGTAGTTCTGATACAAAGGTTGATAGCTACAGTTTTAGTCATTCTCTGTGAATCTCACCAGTGAGGCAGCCAAGGCTAATACGAAGGCTTAGGCTTCAGGGTTTGTGGTGTTTTACAAGGGGTTTTGTCTCCTCTGCCTCCCTCCCCGACCTCCTTCACAAAAATTCTCTAGAGTAGGGTCTTTCTCTAAATTATGCTGTTATCAAAGCTTTCCCCTAACATAATCAGTGGCTTAGCTGTACAACTAGCAGAAGTAGCAGAATTTGATGAAGAGGAGTTCCTCTTGCTGTTGCCTGTTGCCTTTGATCATTAGGGCAGTCTTGCTAAAACCCTCCCAGAGTGGTAGAATGTAAAGAATATCACTTTATTTGTATTTACTAATGTTGTTCCACAGATTTTTTTGTATTTTTTCTTTAATCTGTTACGAGTGTAAGCATTTTTTTTAATTCTTGCAGTTTCAGCCCAGAAAATGTGTCTCAGTTTTTGTTATAGATCATGATTTTTTAGTATTCTGGAAAGGCATAAGGCAGTAATTCCCCAACCCTTCTGCATTTTTGTATGATGTAATGTGTTCAAAGGCAGGTTCATTTTTATGAAAGGAATACAATAGTACTGAAGCTTGTGATTCATAAAAAAACAATAGTTGAAAGCTAAATCACTGAACCACAAAAACCTTTGCTTGTTTCCAGTCAGGTTATTTGTCTCAGAGATATATTTAAAGTATTTTCAGGAAACATCAGTAAGAGAACTCTATGGCTTTAATAAAATACTGTCTTAGTCCAACATTATCTAGAGGAAATTAATCTATTTTATTAGTTGAACACACATTTATCCAGTGTTGTACTACCTCTCTTTGAACACCACTTATAAATATTCCTCTTGCAAACATATATTTATATTTGAACTTACTGTCATGCTTTTGCAGAAATAGCTATTTAGACATAAATTTTTACTTACAGAATGTCTATATAAATTGAGTATTTGTTTCAGATCCATGTCAAAAAGGTAGAACTTTTCAAAATCCTTTTTCCTGGATAAAGGCCATTTCCACTGTTTTAATTCATACAAACATCTGCTTCTGTGATTTGAGTCTGCTTCTTCAGTTCTGATAATGATTATGCCCACATTCTCATTGTTTGTCAATTCTGGAAAGTTAATTGTTAGTCCAACTAAGCAATCTTCACATGTCTGGTTAATGTAGTTACTGCTTATTGACCTTCTGTAAATGCGTATCTGCCAAATTGGTTTTTAACATAATAAGAAAAGCTAACCAAAGTTAGGTACCTTTCTCTGCTGATCCACACCTGCCATGGCTTTTTAAAGACCTTGTCTAGTGGTATTAGTTTAGTTTAAGTATGAATACTGTCCCTAACATTTTCAAACTTTAGCATGGAGTAGTCTTGTTAGAGTATATATTCTTTTTGAGTATAGTTCTTCAGAAGTGTTCATATTGTGATAATTAATGTCATGAAAATACACAGTTTGGATTTGGTAATCACTGGCAAGTAGTTTTCCTTCAGTTTCTAGCTGATATGGATAAGGTAACTTGTCTGCAATAGAATAGAATCATTTATTAATATTGCCTCTTTTCAGTTATTTACATGTCTTTCTAAGAAATAGAGCAATTGATTTCTTTTTAGAGCTAGTTTCAAAACTGAAGAAGGCATTAGGAATGCCTTTATATAATAGTTTAATTTCTGTATGCTCATATAATTATTTATGGAATTAAAAATATTTGAGCTGAACAAGGCATCTACATTTGTGGTATAAATCAGTGGGAAACTAATACTCGCATTTTCTCTTTTTCCAAACTTTAGGGGGGACACAGAGATTACCTCGCACAATTGGAGTGTCTTTGGCAAAAGAACTAATCTTCTCTGCGCGTATTGTAGATGGTGAGGAAGCAAAATCAATAGGATTGATTAGCCATGTGGTAGAACAGAATGAAGCAGGGGATGCTGCATACAGAAGAGCATTAGCTCTGGCAAAAGAATTTTTACCTCAGGTAAAATAAATTGTTTTGAATTTAGTTTTTAGTTTTTGACAAACATTTAAACTGAAAAAGAAACAACTCTATTTAGAAAAAACTGTCATGAAGTTACATATTAGAGCGATTCTAGTTATGTGGGCAGCAATCAGGAGATTTGTGTATTGAGTGGTGTTATTTGATAATTATTTCATGGTGAAGCAAAAATCCTTTGTCATGGTTTGGTCTATGTATTGCATATTTTGGCTTTCAAGTGTTAAACAAAAAAAATGCACAGTTGTGGGAGTTTTTTAGTAAAGCATTTATCTCAATAGGTTATTTACTTGCTGTTGAATGCTTCAGAAGAGAGGTAAAAAGGTCTGTGTGAAAGTGGACATATCTCAGTGTAACTCTTATTTTGGAAACATAAGGCTAAATATATTTTCTGTATTAAAGCAAAACCCATTTACTAGTGGAAAGTTTGCTTTCTGTCCTTTTTGTATAAGCTTGATGGAAGAATCATGCTTCTATTAGTGTTCGTTCTAAGTGACATCCTCTCTCCGTCTTTCATAAAGAATTGAAATGGGATTTTCTAAATCCCTGTGCTTTAGAACTTGAAAATTTCAGTAAAAAGTTTTAAGTATGACCCTTACAGGAGTCTTTGTGTTTGCTGATGGCTGCCTGTTCCCCTGTTGCCATTGACTGCCAGCTGTTTGTTCAAAGTAGGATAAACCTGCTTTTCAAGCAGAGTCTCCCAGGTAGAAAATTCATAGAAGGCAGAAGAAGAAAATAATTAGTAAACCGTTTTATTGGATCACAAGTGTAAAAGCAAAGATTTTTCGCTGAAAATGGAAAACGTTACAGATTAAACACAGCATTTAACATTGGTTATTTTTTTGTCTTGAACATCCTCATAGACAAATAGAAAAAATACAGTGAAAATTTTAACATGCAGGGGTTCTGGAAGGTAGATTTGTAGTTAAAACTTTGCACTGGAACCAACTCTAAAGCATTTGGCTTTTCCCAGAGCATCAGGCCACTTCTCTAAAGCAGTATCTGAACACTGAGAAGCTAGTGCTAATGGATAGCCACAGGACTGAGATGATTCCCAAAGATGTCTTGCTCTTCTAAAGCACCTTGGAGGAGGAGGGTGGGAATCCGTTTGCTTGCTGGGGACTTCAGTCACTTGCGGAAGACTGTCAACACTTGACCAAGTGTAGGCTTTGCAGTAGCATATTTTAGGTTTGAAGCTGCATCGTTTTATTTCATTATCACATCTTTTCAGATGTCTCCATTGTATGACAAGAGGAATTTAAGATTGACATTGCGAAGGCCTGTAGTGATGTCACTTCAGGTGGCCATTCTGAGCCTTGTTTTGAAGGGAACTGAGCAAGCTTGACAAAAGTGGAGATACTCAGCACCTTTGAAACACAAACCAAACACACTGCTTTAATTAGGTTCTTCTGAAAACAGCATACTTTCATTTCTTCTCGATATTGAAACTGTTGAGACTGGAACTAAGTTTGCAAGCAAATGTCTACTGTAGTGATACAATTTAGGATACTTGACCTGTTTACTCTGAATGTGATGAATGTCCGAAGTCTAGAAGATCCCAGTGTAAGAACAATGATTTGCAGACTCTTCACTGCATTATCTTGTACGTTATGATGATATGTAAATAAGCTTTTTCTTTCATTTTAGGGACCAGTAGCAATGAGAGTTGCAAAACTGGCCATCAACCAGGGAATGGAGGTAAGGATCTGTACTTTCCTAAGAGTAAGTAGAAGTCAGGCTGGCAACAGGTATACTGTGGTAGAACTGCTTTTTGTTTTTCACTGTATAGTCAAAACTTTCTCAAAGGTGAAATGCAATTTTTGTATGTCTCAGACTCCTGAGAGTAGGGTTGGTGCTGGTTTCTGTAATGAGGCATAGTAGCCTCGTGTCTGTCCAGAAGTAATACACTCAGCTAATTATTAATACTAGAAAGTAAACATAAACTACTATGAACAAGCTGTATTTCACAGGAAAAAAACCCTGAAAGTTATACTCTGTCAAGCTTGCCAATGCTCTCAGTATTTAGTAACTAATAAAGTTAAAAGCCAAAAGGCATGTTATTTATTTTTAATATTTTAGTAGAAGTTAGTGTTAAAATTATATCTGGAGTCTGATTTCATACTTGATTCTGATTGCCACTCCTTCTTGAACACTATTGACCTAACTCTAAAGCTTTTTAAAATCCAGCCCTGAGTACGTCTGGACATGTGTTTTACTTTAGGCTTGTGAATCATCTTGCTAAGCTCAGCACAACTATTCATATTTAAAGTTAAGCCCATCCATAAGCTCTGCACCAGGACACCTATAGCTCAACCAAATTTAAGAATAGACCTCTTAAAGTCTCAAAAGCAACCAATAATATAATTGAGTTCAACAAAGCATAGCAGCAGCAAGTTTTGGCCTGAGAACCAAACTCAGATACCGGTGTGCAAAGAGTATGTTTGTTAGGTTTCCACAGCAATTAATGCTGGAATTCAAGCTTTATTTCAGTGGTACCCAAGGTTCAGAATGCTACAAGCTAAGTTATCTAGCTATCACATATAGTGGACCAGAAGATCAAAATAATTATGTTTATAGAATTAGGGACAACAGGATTAGAAGGATTCCGAATGGTCGTCTAGTTCAGTCTTGAGGCCCCAAGACCAGTTGAGCCAAATGTTCATTCAAGCTGTTGTTACAAACCTTCCATGGCAGAGATTTCACAGCTTCCTTTGGTAATCTATCCTATAGCTTATCTCCCCTTCACAAATTGCTTATGGTGCATAGCCACAGTCCATTCAGTGGCCATGTGGAGAGCTGTTAAGTTCTGCAGCATCTGATGCTGAAAATAGGCAGAGAAGTGGTGGGAGGAAAATTCATCCTTTTCAGCTGTTCAGACCAGCTTAAAAGAAAAAAATGTAATTAGAACTAGGTGATGATTCAGGATGGTCATTGGCCTCTTCTTTTTATTTTAAATCCTTTTAAACTTGAATTTATGTTCATTTTGTTGTACATGACGTTTGAAGATAACTTGTTTCAGAACGATTTTTAAATAATCATGCAGTACATTAAATCTTTGCCCCTGTAGTACATGATATGATTACAAATGTGCAAGTAGCTAATGGTTTTTAGTCTAGATGATTTGTAGTGAAGAACATACATTGTTTTGACAGTCTATTACGTACTAATTGTATCGCCAAATAAGGAAACTGTTACAGAAATACTAACCACTCTCAGCACACGGCAGTGTAGCAATTCTATGATCAGAAGTTTTTTAGCATGTGGCGTATAAAAACACAGTACTTGTTAGCCGTCAGGAAATAATATATAATAAATATACAAAAATATGCTTTTAAAAAACATTGCATTTTTTTCCTCAGGTCGACTTAGTAACAGGTTTAGCAATTGAAGAAGCTTGTTACGCTCAGGTATGTAACTATGACTACACAAAAACCCCCAGAAAACAGGCTTTGTGGGTGCCTGTTACAGAACATGCAGAAATTCAACTAGAAATTGCTCTGTATTCTCGTCTACATTTAGACCTTCCTTCTACTTTGTTTTTTTTAAGGAATTTAAGGATGGAGGCATAGTTTAGGACAGAAACATTTCCTTGCCAAGAGATGTTAGGGTGAAGGTCATGAAGCAGTACTAGCCATATACCTAGCAAGTCTTACACTACCGTGTATCTGGCCCAAAAACTGCCTTGCTTTTGCTTTGTTTCTTGTTTAACATGAAACAACTTGAAGGACACTTCTGTAGCATGTGCCGCTAATGGTATATGTTCTAACCAACAGAAAAACATGACAAACCTCTTTGCCAGTGAAGCATGGTAATAATGTATTTGAGTTTGTTTGTTTTTGGACTTCGAGACAATTTTTTAATCATGGAAATAGAAGCATCAGCATTAGATACTTATTTAAAACATATAGTGATCTGATTGATAGCCAGCCCTCTCCCCCCTTCCCCAAAGCAGAACACCAAAACGAAACAACAAAAGCTCATAAACAAACCTGAAAGAGCTTCTCAAAGTCATCTGTTTGAAGAAAAGATACTTTCTTTTTTCAGATTGTTTCACAGCCTTATATCGTGGCTTTGATGTGTCTGGTATTTTCCTGTATCTGACTAGACATTTTAGTTTTAATTTTTGATTTGTATTACCTGTTGCATGTTGAACGTATTGAAGAACTAGGATTTGTATGAAAATACTTTTCTTGGTGTTGTTTTTGGTGTCAATAATGAATTGTTACTCTGCTCATTGCAGACTATTCCAACAAAAGATAGAATTGAAGGTCTTCTTGCATTTAAGGAGAAGAGGCCTCCTCGCTACAAGGGAGAATAAAAGAAGCTAATGCCTTTAAAATACAGTGGGATAAAAGTACTGCTGTGAGGACCATTAAGGTGCATTTGCATCTGCACTTGGAATATCACAACCACCAAAGTAAAATCCAACCATCCTGATGTTACAACGTATATGAATGTGTCCATACATGTACTGGGCCCAGATAGAAATGTGTGCCAGCTCATGCTCATTACCATTTCTGAAGGTTGATATGTGTATTTGCAAGGTCATGGTTTCATGCAGCATTTTTAAAATTTCATATGTACAAAACTTATCATTCCACAATTGAAATAGCTCTGTGAATTCTTTATATAGACAAAACCTGTATGTGATGTTAAGTATAAATCTGCTGTATCATTTTATCAAAACAAAAGCGACTACTGAACACCAAAAATAAGAAATTGTACCAAATATGCGTTAAAATGATTCTGTATGTCAGTAAAAGTTATATTTGCATATTCTACCTGAATATGTACATTATTAATAAAGCTAAGGGAAATGAAAAGGATTATTGCTTGGAAAATATTAAGCTTTATTTATCTGACTTACACTATTCTAAGTAAAATGAAATTAATTTTAGCATGTAATGGTGTCGATGAAGTCATTGCCATTATGTTCATTTAACTGTATTAAATGGAGACATTTTCAAGGCCAGCCTTTAATATGCATTCTTGTATGTTAAACCTGGCTTTGTCTTGCATTCTTCCAATGTACAATCTGATCAGCACTGTCTGCTGTAAAGAAACTTTATTTCACCTGCTCCAGATATTTTAAATTTTTGATGATTGTATTAAAGATTGTCATGCAGGGATGTGACTGATGTGCTGTTAAAGAAACTAGAATTCTCTTCTTCTCCAGAATATTCCTTTTGGAGGTCCTAATAATGTATATTTATATAAAATGGGGATGATACTGACATGTTCTTTATTCTGTGGTAGCCTCAGGGTTCTTTTCATACACTGAAAGAGAAATCCAGTAGGTTACAAGGCGGGAAAACTGTTGTGATTCATAGTGTATATTTGCTGTGAACATGGCATATACAGCAAATGCCTGGAAATAACCTTTTAGAAAGTATTTTTGTTAACTTGACTGGAAAATAAACATGGCTTAGCAGTCAAAGGCTGTGTTTTTATATGAAAACAAATTTCTTCGTGTTTGATTACTGTTGGCTCACGGAACTTGTGTATGCTCTGCTGTTTCTGCCACATTAACTATGGTCACTGTCCATATCTATGATGATAAAGCAGCTGATCAACATGAAATTACAAGAACTCATTTAAATTCATATTTAGACATATCATTACATGTAAATTGATTATAACTGGTAGAGCACACACTTTGTTGACTGGTAAACTTGCTGAGTCGATCATTTCACGCATGATAATTTGCAAATAAAGTACCGGTTCTTGTTTTGATAGTCATATAAAGCCTAGAGGGTCATTTTCTCATGTTTTTGAAATGCTAAAATGTCGTTTTCATTTTTACTGAGTAGGAAATAATTATGTTAATAGAAGAAAAAATATTAAGCCTATGCTGATGGGCTTCTGTTTCATAACTTTGATATACAGTCCAGTTACTGAGCTGCCTCTTTTTTTCTAACAAGCACTGATTAAGTATCTTCTCTGAATGTCTATTCTAAAAAATCTCATAACTTTAAATACTGTGGCCTCAGACTGTGTAGATTCATGCCTTTAATTAGTAGTATTGATCTCAGAAAATAATTTTGCTGTCACAGTGATCTCTCCATTCCTTTTCTCAGGAGAAGATACTGTCATACTGTAGCAATTTGAGTCCCTTCTTTGAAGTCAGCAGCTTGAATATTATTACAAAGTGAGTACCATTAGGACAATTTTTAAAGATACTTTCTAGTGATGTTGAAATAATTCTAAAGGAACAATATTTTAGCAAAAGAAGTGTTAATCGCTTACTGTCTCTGTTATTAAGTGACATGTTATGATGGCTGCAGTGCTTGTGATTAATAGCAGTATTAGAATTCTGCTTCCACAAGAGGGTCATTTATAACAGAAATGCTGTTACAAAGACTGACTTTTCCTTTTGAAAGTTATGATCTGGCAAATCCCCCTTCAAGTGCTTAGGCTCAACTGTTTCAGTTCCTGGTAAAGCCATGCTTTTCTCCCCAGTACCTCATGGGTGACCTAGCCGCGGTCCCCACTGGTTTCCTTAGAGTTTATCTCATGGTCCCTAGGTGTAAGCAGCTTTTTCTCCTGCTCTGGCTGAGCTCAAGTGGATAGTGACTCCTGCACTTCTCCACAGAGCTGGATATTGAAAAGCTATAATACAGGTAGGTCTGCTACCTTCAGCTGATTACCTCTCAACGGTGTAAGTAGAAGATGAACTTACTAAATTGCCTAGAAGTACTCAGTTTCGTGCAGAAATTAGTGTGTGGCTTTACATAACACATATAATTTTAGCCTTTAATCTATGAAAGCAGTTGTATTTTCAATATTATTGAAGTAACTCGCTTTCTTACTAGTCTTACTACATTTCTGGGTGTTTTCAGAATTTTCTGATGGCATCAGCCACTTCAGTGCTTTTGAGTATCTCACCTGCTATGAAGAAATACAGTGTTTTATTTATTATAAGGTTCTGTAATAATACAGTTAAGAGCATTTGGAGGATGGAGCATTTCCATGAAATTTGCAGAGCCATTTGTGCCAAATTGTTGTTGAAATTTGGTCAGTTTATGTGCAGTTACTCATAGTCCTACACCAAGGTTCATATCAATGCTTTTCTAGAACTGCTTTTAACCAGCTGCATTCAGAATAGTAAACAGCAGGATGTATCATTTGCAGCTGTTTCATATTTTCCTCAGTCATTGCTCTTTGATGCATTTAACCATAATCAGATTCGTTGAACAGAATAAAAAACAATGTCTCTCCATCACAGGAGAGAGCAGAATATCATGCTACTTGGAATCTGGTTTTCAGAGACTTAGGGAGTATAGTAAGGGATTTGGAAGTAGTGACACTTCATATACCAAAAGCAACTCATAGTATGCAAACAAAAAGAGTAATTGAAACATCTTAATTTATTACTAAACTTACTTTTTCTTTCATTGTCTTTTCATGCAAACAAAATCCCTGAAAATGTGTCTACTAAGATAGAGGGTTTATTTACAATTAAAAATATATGGCTGAAAACCATTGGTATTTTATATGGTGGATATTGAACAAGATATGCCTTCATGTCTCATTTGTGGGATTTTAGCCTTGTTCTAGCAACTAATGAGACTGCTGAAAAGCCATGGGGCTTCATTGTCTAGTGAGGCTGATACAGTCAGTGTACTTGGGGTGTGATAATGATCATGATGATGTGGTTATTTTAAGAATTTCTTTTTCTGCACACTTTCAGAAAGACAAGTATCACAAAAAATGAGAAAAAGAATAAATCAAAAGGAGACGTATTCAGCTAAAGGTAATTAAATTCCTCTTGTGTATTTTGAGAGATTACAAAGACTAATTTTTCTGTTTATGCCTTTTTTTTCTATTGACTTTGCTTTTCTGCAAGTCTGAAACTCAGACACCAGGGTGCAGGGAACACTTTTAGGAATTTTTATGGGTTGTTTTCACTTTAAGCACATTAATATTTTATAAGCAAAGCTAGGAAAGTTTTTTAAAAAATTTCCTAAAACGTTTTTGAAGGATGTAAACAGGAATTATTGTATTATCACCAAAGATTAGGTGGCATACCTTTTTTATTACAGATATAAATCATGCTCACTTTCAACCTTGGAACAGAGTTGAGTAGAAGTTTCCTAAGTTATGAAGAGTGTGCTGTGTTTATGCAATGTATTCATTATGCATTATAATATATATGTGTTTATATTGACATGTTATATGCATGCATATGTATGTGTACGTGCTTATGCATCTGTATATGTATAAAATTCTTCAGACAGTCAGGCGAGATCAAACCCCCTCAGGATATGATAGTACTGTTCTACTCCAGGAAGTTTTGCATTTGTTTGTGCAAGAGCACTACCAGCAAAAACCTTGAACCCTGCAGAGCATGTGCTGTGGGTGCTACAAGTGGCCATACTTAGAGTGTGGAAGTTCTCTAACACGGAAGTTCTGCCGCAGAAGCAGCAGTCAAGTAGCTGTCAGGGGGACACACGTATGTTACTCTTTATCTAGTAGTGCACATCCGGTAGCTCAAGGCTGGAATAAATGTAGCAGAAGTTGAAGTGAGTTCTAAGTTTCAACAAAGGTGTGGCATCCAGGTAACACATTCCTCCCAGTCCTATAGAATCGTTGCTTCTGCAGTTTGGAGAGGCCTCCTGCAATCATGAGCAGCTCATTAATCAGCAACTGTCGTAGATTGTAAGATCAGTCTCCACCCCCCCCTTAAATAAGTCTAGACCTAGATTTCATCTTCAAATTTTATCTAGTAGATAATTCTTCCAAGGACACTCATTCACATGGGAATAAGAAGTATGTTAAAAGAATTTATTACAGAGGGTGTGAACGTTCCATGTCAAAGCTAAGTCCTATTGCAATACTTGAGTTCAAAATAGTACATTAACCCTCTAAGGCATAGTCTCTACATGTATGTTTATAAAGTCTTCAAAGTTCTGGCTAGTGTCTACTACTCTTTGATTATAATTTCTGAAGCATATGCTAATAAAGCTTTTGTAACATTAAAGAGATGAGAATATGTTGCAGTTTTCATGTTGCATAATATAACCACTTTCAGAACAACATGAAAAGTTGGTTATTTTTTTAAGGAACTTATGCATCAAATTGTTGCTTCTTTATTCTAGCAACTGCTAATTGATTTAACATTTTCCCTTAAGCATAAGGGACTTTGTGATATCATCTTTGGCTCAACTCTTTCTAGCATGTTAAAAAATCTGATGCCAGTTGTACAAATTTCTAAAAAATGTGTTTCTTTCATGCAGCTTAGAAAGACAAAATTTAAAATTTTAATTGTGATGATAGAGTTATGAAAGTTGTGCTTTCATTACATATAAATATCTAATAAATAGTTCTGTGTGCTTGAGTGGAGAGAGTTCAAACTCCTCCTTTCTTTGTGTAACGAGTCTATTCTGCTGGGCCTGTTGTCTTCAAAGCTGTCTGTAGCTGAATGATATTTGTGAAAACATGTAAGTATCCCAGCTAGTGACTATGCAGGGTACAGTCTGTGGTTCATGTTGTCCTGTGGCCTGCCTCCTCTTCCAAGTAATGGTGAAAGGAGGAGAGAGCTAGAGAATGTGCTTCTAAGAAGCAGTGGGTCTCAGAAGGATGGATAGGAGAGATGGGCTGTAGGGTGTGTTCAGGCTGCATGTTTAAATCAAAAGTCCATTTCAGCACAGTGATTTCCAGTGTCTTCATGAGCAGCTCCACAAAGTGTATTTTTCTGTGTTGGTTAGTTACAGCATCTGAAGTTTATACCCTAATGACTAGTAGAGATTATAACTTCCAAGCATGATTCCTAGACTATCAGTATAAGATACAAAAGAAGGTAGGAGAAACAAATATTGTATAATGAGA